ATGCCACCTCAGCAATCTTCAACAGCTAAGTATTTACAAATGTGGAAGTCTTGTTTCCATCCCGCGACTGAGTGGGGGGAGAAGACCCTCCAACCTGAGATATATCCGGATCACAGATTGCGAGAAATTGGAGGCGTTGCCCGCAGACATGCACAATCTCAACTCTCTTGAGGATTTGTGGATCGACTACCGTGAAGGTTTGGCTTTTCGTCCCAACCTCACGTTTCTTGAAATTAACAAGGTCAAGAGCTGTAAGTCATTGTGGGAGTTGGAGTGGGGGTTGCACAGACTCACCTCTCTTAGAAATTTGTGGATCAGTGGTGAAGACCCGGATACGGTGTCGTTTCCACCCGACATGGTCCGGATGGAGACGCTTCTTCCCAAATCGCTCACTCAACTCGAAATAGGTGGCTTCCCGAATCTGAAGAAACTGAGCAGCAAGGGCTTTCAATTCCTCACCTCCCTTCAATCTCTGTATCTCTTGAATTGTCCAAAGCTAGCATCCATTCCAGAGGAGGGTCTGCCTCCTTCACTAGAGGAATTAGTCATCAAAGGGTGTCCAGTGCTAGAAGAGAGATGCCAACCAGGAAAAGGACGCTACTGGCACAAAATATCCCACATCCCTTCCATACAGAGATTTTAGAGGTATCATCGTACCAAGAAATGTTTTATTATTATTATTATTAATATTATATTCATTATTATTGTTAAGCATCTTTGGTTGGATCTTGGCATCATGTCCACAATATTTTGTGGGATCATGATATCATGTCCAAATAATATATCCAAAGGCAAATAGAGAAGAAGTTAAAATCTTTTTGGCAGTTTACTTATGTCCTCAAGATTTTGGGGTTTCACTGTTTCAGCATTGCATGCTTCTTCGCTTTGGGAGTCCAGTGGCTGACACAGTAGAGCTGGTTATGTCCTGCTTTGGGAGCGATTCTTTGACGACAGCAATGGCTGTTTCTAGGCCAAGCTTTCTTCTCCCAAGTTTTGAGTTTTTCTCACTGGGTTTTCTCCGGGCAACATTGATTTGTAATACAAGTGTGCTACTCTTTCTCCCAAGTTTGGAGTTTTTCCCACTGGATTTTCTCCGAGCAAGATTTTAACGAGGTCATTTAATCCTAATCATTTGTAATTCCTCCCCTTGACGGAATGATTGTGACTTGTGAAGCTAGTAATGCATTTAATTTAATGTGTCGAGAATAATGCAATTAAAGAGGAATGGGAAAGCCAAGGGGCTTGTTGCTCAAGTGGGTAAGAGCGTTTTTACCCTTGCACCTGAAGTTATATGGTCGAATCTCACCTGATAAAGTGAAGAACTGTGTTTAACGAAGAAGTATTGTCCTATCAGAAATTAGATTACGGCAACACATGACCTATAGACTACAAAAACCAAATTCCATTTTTGTTACCTTTTTCGCCAAATCCTAAGTTGTATAACTCCAACCAACGGAATCAAATCCGATTAGTACAGATCATTCGCTTGCTTTCTCATCTTTCCTGGATTACCACCCCGCTGTTGATTCGCGGCAGTGGGAGAGAATGGATCAAAAAGTTGCTGTCCTCCTCTAGGACCAGACGCGGACTTGCCAGAGGCAAATGCGAGATTGTTGCTGAACTGTTGATTTGGAGGACGTGGGATCTCAGGTTGAGTTGAGTGAGCAGGATAGTTTTGTTGAATTTGAATATGATTTCCTGGCCTTGGAGGCAGAGGACTGGGCAAATTGGGAATCTGGTGAGGTGGATTGAAGTTAGCCGGTCTCATTGGCGACTGGTGTCCGAGGTAGAACGGTACTGGAGTCTATAAAGGTTGCGAGTCTGGGAGGAACTAAGATGGCAGTTGAATTTCTGGCGTAGGGAGGAGTAGATATATAAGCAGATGGATGCTGACCCAATGTCGTCACCGAGCTATGGTCTCAATAACACCTGACTGCCTGGCTGAGGAAACTGGCAAGACGGTGCCTGAGGTGCTGCAGGTGGCAACATTGGTCTGGCGAGAGAAGCATTCTGTGGTGAGAAGTGACTGCTTGACTGGGGAACCGTTTGGAAGGATGGATTCTGTGGTCCGTGAGGCTGAAAAGTTAAAATGCCAGGGCTTGGAGCCGTCATCATTGATGGTTCTAAGGGAGCAAAACTTGGAACACTTCCAGAAACAGAACTTGAAACTCTTGCTTGCAGAGATGTATAAGGAAGTCCCGCTTGAGGTTGTGGAATAAAAGTAAAGCTTGGTGCTGCAATAGAATGGTTTATAGAAGATACCATATTGGCCGTTGATATATTTGGAGGTGGCGGCATGGATGCAACACCTGGTTGTGGAGCTGGTGGACCGCTTGACCATCCAGTAGAGCTCCCAGCAGGCAGTTATCCAGGACAATTAATAGACATGTATTGCAGAAATGAAGGTGCAAAATTTGTGGGGGTCGGTTTCCCATGAATGTGAGGGGAACTGAAACATTATTTTAAACTGATTCAGCCTGGGAAGCCATATATGTATGCGGCAAAATTTGTGTTCTTGGTGGGTTTTGTATAGGGGAAACAAGAGATGTTGTCTAGGGGAAACAAGAGATCAAGGAAGCCCAAATGATGAAGGCAGGTCTGTGGGGTTGAAAGGTGATGTTGACAGATGGGATGGACTGTTGAGAATTGGTCGGGATGGATTGTTGAGAATTGGTCTTGAAGAATTCAGCGGATTGAAGCCAGGCATATTCACAGGAGCGGAAGATGCGCCCGTCAAGAAAAAATGGACCAGGGTACTGAAACTGCCCATTCAGTGAGTTTGTGCAGGTCCTGCCAGTGGTTGCACCATTCCCTGATTTACCTCAGTTGACGGAACCATATTAGAGGTGGTACCGTCCTGGACTTGACTAGGAACATGAGCATTATCACCAGAAACTGAAGCACCTGTACCGGTAACCGCTACCAGATTTCCCTATATGGAAGTAATTCAAGTAACGATAGTGAGAAAACAACTGTAGAAATCATAATAAATAGCATGAAAGAATAAAGTATAAGAAACTGTTGGATGTAAAGCTTGATGTTTAAACATAAAACGAAACTCACTGATACAGAGGTGACTAGCAGTTCAATTATAGCAACCGCTGCAACTACTTTCTCAAATGTGTCAGCTGATATATGAACGTATAAGTTTTCATATTCACCCTGGATTTCACTCCTATCAGATGGTTTTATTTCAGCCAGCAAATAAGTTGAAGAATAAAAGAGGGAAAAGTCAATACATGTATGTATGGGCATTATGTCACATCTCGAAGCAACCAATTGATATGTTGAAGAAAAGATGAAAATGGGTAAAACTGATAATAAGAACCGTTCTATATTATTTACTGATAAGTACCTTCTGTTCTATCCCTGCTTTGGTATCATAGACTTGAATCTTGGCTCCACGTTCTTCGTTTCCATCACAATCCCATTACCTCTCTGGTTCAAGTGTGCTGCCTCTGTCATCTATGTGGCCTCAGGCCTTGTAATACTATTTTGTCACCAATATAGCCGGCAAGAATTAAAACAACACCAAGATGAAAGTGTTCGAGAGAGGAGACATAATTAAATTGCACTGTTGAATATTACTCTTGTATATGTGTGTCCTTGAATAAACTAGGACTAATTCGATGAAATTGAAAGGACATGGATCAAAGTGGATCTTTGTGAAAACTCTATATAACATGCAGAAAAGAACAAAATTGTCACCTTTTCAGGAGACAGTCACGCTATGCTTATATACAGAGGCAAGCAACTAAAGATATTAAGCAGTGGAACTCCCCAAACAATAGAAGAATATCCTTCAGTATACAAGAAATTCAATCTGGGACTGTAAGAAAGGCACAAACTTTGAAAAGCTCTCATCTGAGACTCCTAGCTGAACACTATCAAGTGAAAGGATAGAAGTTCAAAAAGAGCAAACTGCCTAGAAGAAGGTAGGCGGCAGAGTATGCCCAAACTATATATATCCCCATCTTTTACCAGTGCCACGGGTTTCATTATATACGAGGCAAACCAATAGAGGGGAGGGCTGAAAGATAAGAAACGAGTAGCAACCTGTCAAACATGAAGCATCAAAAGTTAGGATACATAGTGAAGCTAATAGCAAAGGTAATCAATTTTCCAAATAAGACCAATAAGCGGCACAAGCTAAAAACCAAGATAGTAATCACTAATCTGCTATGCCATTCTGATCACAAGGCAGTATCTTTACACCATCTACTAAGTGAAAAGTTTTAGTCTTGGTGCATACAAATTTGGACATACATGCATAGGTTGGAGTATTCAAAAAGTAAAACTTCAGCGTGATTAATATTTACATGCTTGGTTAGTATTCATCTATCAAGCAACTGATTTCCACTAGCTTGCCTTTCCATTGAAAGATAAGATAAATCATGATGTCAATGATGATTGAAATTTTTTTGAGTTTTCATCCGAATCCAAATATAAACCCAAAAAATTTGACAAAATTATATTGTCAAGTCAAAGAGAATTACTGACAACCATCATATCATAAGGCTGAAATTTAGAATTTTATATTTTTCAAATACTGCTAACTTAAATTCTTTGGCAAAATAAATAACTTTAAGAGGGAATAAAGTCAAACCTGCACATGCATGACAAAAAACGCCGCGGCTGCCATAAATCCCAAATGTAGAATACATGGAAGCACAGCAACAGACAAGTATCCTCGCTTTGCTGATAATTTACGTTCTTCTGAGATAAGAGCAGGACCATCTTTGTTCACTTGGTTCCTTGCTTTGAGATTGTGATTTTCTGTCACATTTGCAAACAATTGATTACATGGTCTTGAAAGGCAACATAAAAATGGAAGGTAAACAATATTCCAAAAATATTGATTAGGTCATGCATAATAAAACAAATTTATAATCATGGAACTGTGTAGGCAAAATAAATTATTGATAATCATGATACTGACCCTTAATCTTTCATATATACAAATTTAAAAATCATAAATAAAATAAAAAATTGAAACCTACAAAAGGATGCTTCCTCAAGAAAACAGCATCATAGGTCTGATGCATAGTCTGAAAACAGAAATAACCAGCATTGAGCACTCCATTGGACCTTGAAAATCCAGAGAGGGCAAACCAAAGAACAGCAATAACATCTTTTCCAGATATTAGATGATACAATCCTCCAACTGAAAAAAGGGCGAACAATGTCTCTGAATATTTGCAGTATAAAGCAGATGAAAACCCCAGCCTGATGCAATAGCATAGGTACCAACAATATAAAGCAGATGAAAACAGGAAAACTACATTGATGAATAGAATATGGAAGCTGGATTGAAGCAAAACAAGATCGAAGCCCTCACTGCTGCTTCATGGTCCAAAATAACAACTGAAAGCCTGTTAAAGTGACAAAGGGAAGATAAGTAATCAAAAGTTTTAAACCAAACAAAAGGTCAATGTCAAAATAATCAAGGGCAGCCAATTGAATCCAGGTTCATAAATATTATAGTTCCCCATTCTCGAAACTTCATTCATATATATTCCAACATTATTTCCCTTTGATTGTCGACAAAATCCAATTTCAGAGGAATAGGGTCTCATTAAGGAAAGGTATTTACTTTCATTTGTAAAATGGTGCAAGTAAAGCTCTAACTATTGTTGGAAAAGAGACACACTTGAAGCTACCAAGTAGTTATACTCCGGATAAAGTTTGCCTAATCAAATTGAGCTTCTAAAAATCCTAACCGAACCAGCTCACCTGTATAGATAAACAGCTGCAAACATGAAGCCAATGTTGTTGATCACATAGCCAGATAATCCTAACACAGCTCTCTGCCCAATGACCGGAACCAATGGTGCCAAAACTGAAACCACAAAGCACCACTGCCTAGTTGTAAAAAAGCACTTATCCAAAGTTCAGAGATTGCCAATTGGGTAAGCTCAAAGTTCACTAATTGCCAATTGGGTAATCTCAAAGTTCACAAGTTGTCAACTGGGTAAGCTCAAAGTTCACAAATTTTCAATTGGATAACCTCAAAGTTCACAAATTGCCAATTGGGAAAGCTCAAAGCCATAAATTGCAAATTGGGTACTGCTCAAAAATTCAGAAACTAAAAAATTTACCAAATGGGTATTACTAAAAACTGCTAATCCGAGCCTAACCTGTGCGGGATAACATCGACATGCAAAGAGGAAGAAGGGGGAAGAAAGCGTAGGTCTGCTCGTACTCATAGCCACACTCTGCAATCCGAACAAAGTAGACACTGTCCCACACAATGCTGGACTCGATAGCGGAGATCAGAGAAGGAAAGAGAACGTTTTGTTGTGAGGGGTTGGTGGATAGGCAATTGGGGTTGATGGGGGCAGAGGTGTCGTAGGGGGACAAGAGAGTCCGCCATAGGAAGTTTAGAGTCGGGACTAGGAGTCGGACTGGATTGCTGATCTGATAACTGTGGTTTCGTGGTGGAGTCTCGGTGAGGAATTCGTCGAAGAGACCGGAAACAATGGGAACGGGATGCATGGAGGATGAGTTTCAGGAGTTCAAACCTTCTGCGCCAAAATTTCCCTGTGGTCTCTCTGTGACATAACCAGATTTTGACACGTGTCCACACTAACTTCAAATTATAAACGGCGTTAACTCTATGGAAAAGAAAAACAAGATAAAGAACCAAGAACTCCTCGTAGTGTTAAACAAGTAGGAATTCTCCATCCTCAAAAATCAAATTCAAATAAGTATGAATCCTCTTTCTCTGGATTTCCCAATGACCCAAATATCCCTGCAAAATAACCAGAAAGCACATAACTTTTTTATGATTCTACAAAAAGCAGGCATTTTTGAGATTTATTACAAAAGATGTAGCTAAAACGAATTGAGTAAAAGCATTGCATGCGGCCCAGATGAGAAAATTGAATTCTGAGAAAACCCCAGATGAGAAAACTGACCTGAAATTGCAAATCTGATCAGAAATGTTGGATTTTTGCCTGAGAACTCTCACCCAGATATGGTTGGGGATTGGCGCAATACCAGCTGATTGCCTGAGAACTCGACCTTCTGCGTATCGGTTTCCTTTTTTTCGTAGCCGGCGTCGTCTTCTTGGCGGGTCGTTCGGATTTGCCGAGGTAGATGGGCCACAAAGAAATGAAGTGTTTAACAGTGTTTACAAGAAAGATTAGCCTTTTTGTTTTTTTTTTCAAGGTTTAACAGTGTTTAGTGTTGGGAATGGGTCCAATAGAAAAATGGACTTTGTATGAGCTTATAAAAAGTTGGAATACTCCTCATATTGTCAATTAGTTTTATGGTGGAACCTCAACTTTTTTCATGGTATTCATGGGATGAGGGACCTTGTATGAGATTATAAGAGATTAGAATACTTCTTATATTGCTAATTAATTTTATGTTGGTTCTCCAAATTTCTCCGTTTAGAACGACTTTCTTCGTTTAAAACCGTAGAACATGCAAATTTTCGGTTCAGAAGATTTAAACGCATACATGACATGTGAATAATGATGAAGAAAGATTGTTAAAGGTAGAAGATAGAAATAAAGAAAGATCAGATGAAAACAAAAACTCGAGATTGAAACCAAATAAACGGTTATAACCGTCCTATTAATGAAGATGGACACTAGTGATCGTGGACTTGAAGTTGTTAGAAGGTACCGGTCTTTAAAAACAGATTTAAGCAGGAAAAGGGCTTTAAATATGAGGGTGTGATTTATAACTAACACCTATGTGCTGGTGTGATCTGATTACATGGTGTCCTTTTCCTGGCCTGTTTCTGTGATCCTCAAATGACCTAAATATTGATAGAGAGAGTGGTCCACTTATCCAACTTGAACAAGAAATCTATATCCATACATTATTTGTGTTTAAATAAATGAAATTTGTATACGATAAGTTATTGAATTTGATGTTCATCTCGTCTCGTGTCGCTACTTATAAATATCTTTACAAGAAAAGATTATCGTGTTCATTCATCTTAGTATTATGTATGATAATTCTTTATTCATTCTTCAAAGATACTTATAAAAATTAAAAGAAGCGGGCGGAAATAGTGTTCAAATTTATGTCATTTGATTTTGTTTAAGAAAGTGTTTCTTCTGTCTCTCTAAAACATTAATTCTGGAAACAACCTTACTGTACTTTATATTGCTCTGTTGGAAGTTGGAAAGAAAACCAATTTTATAGCATCATGAGAACATGGAAACAAAGTTCTAAACAGTAGAGCATTTGATCACATGGGGAAGAAGTTAACCCCTAGTTTCTAAAAGCAAAACAAGTCCAAAGCTTCTTTACGACTTCCTTGTTCACCAGCATCATTGTAAGGCAGATTTGTCTGCCTCCAACGATTATCAGAGATATAAAGTAAGTATTATCTAATCACGGATGAATGAAAATGGTCACGGGTTCGAGATTTTAATCCAGATAACCACGAGTTTCCAAAACTAGATACGTAGAAAATGATCTTGAGTGAAACAAATTAGAGAAATATTTTAAATTTTGTGTTTTCTGCTTCTGGTTTTGAGATTAATACTGAAACAAAAGATACCATACAACACAATACAATGAAGTGCCCCTTTGTTTATCCCATTACAGAACTCATCCTTCAGGCCAACTGAAAGATCCCCCAACTGTCCTCTATGTGTGGAAAAAACAGAAGAAAAACATTACAATATTAATGTACTTTTAAGTAGTATGTACTAATTCAACGATTGTGAAACCTCATACGTAGTGTATGATTAAGAGTTACATATAAGTTATTACACCGGTGTCTCTTTACTGAGCAAGTCTTACTAATTGAACAATTTTGATTCATACAATCATTGTAATTCACATCTTATATATGATTAAGAGTTACATAAATTATCACATTGGTGCATCTTTATTTCGAAAGTCTTACTAATTGAATACTTTTGATACATACAAACACCTTAAGCCACTTTTTATGTACAATCAAGGGAAGAGAAGTTACCACACCGGTGTCCCTTTATCCCCTTTTTTTTTTTTGGGTGGGGGTGTTGCTGTCGCAAAAAGGACAGTATTTCAGTTCATTCAGGGTTTGCGCAAACGAGGGCACTACAGCAGATGAGTCCAATATTTCTTCTAGTTTCAGATGTGATATTTTGGTGCACTATGTGACAGGCACATGCGATTTCAAGATAAAACATATCCTTTCACATGAGAAGACTCCAATGAAACTATACGAAGATGCTTGCACAATTATTGCCACTCCACCACCCAACTACCTTTCAAATGGCATAAAAACCAAAAGGGCAGCCAAGAAAAAACCACACACAAAAAAAATAAATAAAAAAACCCATTTCTTCTCTCTCTCCCGGCCCCCATCTCTCCTTTCTTTCTGCACTACCATGAGTAACTCAAAGGATGTGAGTGTGCAGGCACTCACATGCGCCTTGGTGTTGATATTTCTAGTTGGTTTTGGCAGCTGCAACATAGACCAGGATAGGGCAGAATGTACAGACCAGCTAGTAGGGCTTGCCCCGTGTATTCCGTACGTCGGCGGTGATGCCAAAACTCCAACCTTAGATTGTTGCAGTGGAATTAAAGAAGTGGTGCAGAAGAGCAAGAAATGCCTCTGTATCCTAATCAAGGACCGCGACGATCCGAAACTCGGCCTCAAGATCAATTCCACTCTTGCTTTGAACCTTCCTAGTTCCTGTCATGTACCTGTCAACATATCAACATGTATTGGTAAATACATATATATACTCAACTGAAGTATATTCTAATTAGTTTAATTTCTCTAGAAATGGACATGATTATATATATCACTAGTTTGATCATTTTCAACGTTGTTGATGGATTCAGATCTCTTGAATTTGCCATCAAACTCTCCGGACGCGAAGATGTTCCGGGATTTTGAAAACCAGACTGAAGCGAGAAGCAACTCTACTGCCCCTTTATCCAGCGGTATTCTAACAAATTTACTCCTAGAATTTTAGCATATTATGAATGGTAATTAATTTAATTACAATTTAATAGTTTTTTATCTCGTAATATATGTTCAATTTACTTGGTTTTATGTTAATTATTATAGTGAATTCTACAAGCAGTGGTACAGTTGCTCAAGCAAAGAGTGATGGTGGGAGGTTGGAAAAAAGATTGATGGGAATAGAGATGCTATTTGGGACTCTGCTGGTGTTTTATATTTCACACTTGGTGTTTTATGCTTGATACAAGACTGCCTTGTCCTTACTGCTGATCGTTTTGTGTGTAATGATCTCTCTCTCTCTCTCTCTCTCTCTCTCTCTCACACACACACACACATCATCTGCACTTATCTCTCTAATTATATATTAATCAATTGGATATTATTATGGGGCGTGTATGGATCAATTGGGATCATTCGAACCCTTTATATCATGATTTGTAATTTGTAATGACAAATGTTAACAAAATTATAGCTAGCAACTAAAATGGTCACTTTTGGCAACAAATATTGATCACTTTTATGTCCTATATGTTAACACTAAACCACAAACAAGATTCAGTTACTCGAATCACAACCGAACAAAATACAAAACACCAATTCATATAAGGTTGAAGCATACTGACCTGAAGAACTTTCATTGGATGCAACCATGGTTATTCACGATCAACCCGAATGCAGCTGCACTTCTTCTCTCTATCACGATGAATATTGATCACTTTTATGTCCTATATGTTAACACTAAACCACAAACAAGATTCAGTTACTCGAATCACAACCGAACAAAATACAAAACACCAATTCATATAAGGTTGAAGCATACTAACCTGAAAAACTTTCATTGGATGCAGCCATGGTTATTCATGATCAACCTGAATGCAGCTGCTCTTCTTCTCTCTGTCACGATGCTTATTGCTCAAACTAAGAACAGAACTCAGTTCCAAAAAAGTGTGTTCTTGTGAGAGGAGAGGTCGCTATATGTTCATACACATATCCCTTCTCATAATGGAATGAGGACTCCCTATTAGAATCCTTATGGAAACAACTTATATTTTCCTAATCCATATCAATTCATTACTCCAACAGAATTCTCAAGTTTATATCAATTGGTTTCAGATAGCCAATGCCAGATCACCTAGTCTCAAGTTTATATTCTTAACACTTTATATCTTCAGTTTCTCTTCTTTCTTTTTGGTAGCCCACAAAATTTGAAGGAAATGAAATTTTGGTGAATGTTTCGCGCGCTCGTTTTTCAGACAATCTGATACATTGGGTTAGTAAACTGTCAATCTAAAACTCTAGTTTGTAGACACAGTCAAGAATGTTAGTAGACCTCAATGTTTTCACAGTCCTGAAAGATCTCATTGGGATGTTAATGTTTTGGCAAATGATCAAACTTTCCTCACTTCTTAATATTAAAGAGAAAGAAGTGCCTCTTGAGAGGAGCTAGAGCTAGTGGCTAGCTATCCCTCTTTCACGACGAAGGGTGGCACGTAATCCTTACGTGAACCTTAAAAAAACGACCTTATACAAATCATGAGACTCGATGCGAAAAAGCTAAAATGTGTAGCAATTTTTAATTACAATAGAAAACAGTCACTTTGTCGTCTCTTTTTCATTTTTGTTCGTAAAGCACAAACCCTTTTTCATTATTGTTCGTCATCTCCAATTCAAGCCCACAGCTATGGCCATGGTACATTACAAAGCCACATGGGCTTCAAGCTTCTATACCGGCCTTGCATTGAAGGACAATATCATCGGCATGCCCATGAGTAAAATTTAACAATATGCATCGCCATCAGCTATGAGCCACCAGAAATTATCGTGATAAAGCCACTAGCTGATCCTCTTGAAGGAAAAAAAAAATTACGTATGTGCAAACGATCTAAACTTAACGTAATATAGTCCTTAGCATATAAAAATGCTAGAAACTTCATGTAGTATTTGTGTCACTTTTGTGTCAAACCTTTTATATTAACAAATCGTTTTGTATCAAACTCATTATCTTAATGGATTCTTAAGAGGTGACTCGACAATAATTTGACTCGCTAACGTGTCGTTTTGAGTCAGATTAATGGATCGTGCAAAAAATTGTTATGCCTAATGTCTAGACCAAACAAACAAATTGTATTTGTGTCATTTATATATCATAGCCGTTATCTTAATAGGTGACCCAATAACTACTTGATTTGTTAACGAGTTCTTAACGTGTGATCTGATAATGACCCGACTCATTGACAGGTTGATTAAAAAATTATTACTTCTATGTCATTTCGTGTCAGATTAATAAGTCGTTCAAGAAATTGTTACGCCTTTTTTAGACTCAAATTCTAATTGTGGTTGATGAATCATGAAATGTAACCCATGCTTTGGTGTACCTTTCTATTTATATCTTCTTCCCTCTTTTTGGTTATAGTAGTGACTCATCCATATTTTTTTTTAATCAATAGTGACTCATCCATCTTAACTGTTCTTGTGTTTTTTTTTCCCCCTTAATTGAGAATTTCATTGGATAAGGTGAAATCAAGAGGTAATTTTTGGGGTTTTTTTTATTTATATAAAATGGTATTTTTTTGGGTCTTGCATGATAATAATTTTACCCTAACCTAAAGTACGACATATCAAGGCACTTTAAATTAGAACGAATATCTCATACTCCGATATATCGTAGCCCGTCATTGTGTACAAGTCATAATATCCTTTTCTTTTCGTTTTTAACCAATAAAGCATTATCCATTGTCTGATTCTTCTGCCACCAACCAACCTGGACTTCAAGAAAAACCCATGATTTCCCATAAATACCACACCAACCTCAAAACAAATCCAAACCGTCCAAGCCTCTCAAATCCAACGGTACAGACTCCTCTAAACCCCTCACGTCCTCAATATATACACCCAAAAATCTTTCCGGAAAGTCCAACCTGCAAAGGATACTCAAGAACCCGAAAAGCACAGAACTTTGTCAAAACCCATACACACTCTCTATAGCACCCGACCCGAATATGGCACAGAACCGATACCCCATCTGGGTCTGATCCCGATCCTCCTCTTCTCTCTCTCCGTCCTCCCAAGTCTCTCTCTTTCTCTCTCTAACTCCCCACCCACAGTCTTCGACATTTTACCCGAATACGGCCTCCCCCGCGGCCTCTTACCGTCGTCGGTCTCCAACTACACGCTCTCCGACGACGGCCGATTCGTCGTCGTTTTGCCCAAGACCTGCTACATTCAGTTCGATTACTTGGTCTACTACGAAAAGACCATAACGGGCAAGCTCACATACGGGGCGATCACGGACTTGAAGGGGATTCAGGTCCAGAGGTTCTTGTTCTGGTTCGACGTCGACGAGATCAGGGTCGATTTGCCGCCCTCGGATAGCATTTACTTCACTGTTGGGATCATCAACAAGAAGCTCGACGTCGATCAGTTTGAAAATGTCCGGTCTTGCCGTGACGGGTTATCGGGTTCTTGCGTCGGGTTGTTCAAACGGGGCATTCAGGTATTTTACTTATTTGATTACTTAAGTAACTGTTTATTTCTCGCTTCTTGATTGCTTTTGGGGTTTTATAATTTTATGTTTTTTTATTGAATTATTGTGTGTAAATTGGATTTTTGAGTTTTGAATTCTTGCAACTTTATGCTTCTGGGGTTTGTAATTTTAGAGCTAAATTAGATAAATAAAGTATAAATTGAATCCTTGAAGTGGACATCTTTGTTAAAAAGAATCAATTTTGTTTGTAAAGATTGTGTTTTGTGTGTGATTATATGAGAAGTTTAATTCAATTTCTGAATTGTCATTATTTTTCCTGGTAATTGAGGAGGTAGTTAAGTTATTTGAATCTGTGGATGTAATCGATACGAACCGAAATGGAAAACAACAAAAACAAATCAATTTTGTTTGTAAAGGTTTTGTGTGTGATTATATTGAGAAGTTTAATTCAATTTCTGGATTGTCATTGTTTTTCCTTGTAGTTGAGGAGGTAGTGGATTGTCATTGTTTTTCCTTGTAGTTGAGGAGGTAGTTAAGTTATTTGAATTTGTGGAAGTAATTGATTCGAACTGAAATGGAAAACAACAAAAATGCATAGAGTTGAGTGGTCCTAGTGAGGAAAGCTCCTCAAGAACTTCCTTAATCATCAGCTTGCATATAAGGCCAGAAAGTATTAATAAGAGTGTTAGGTGTCCCTAATAAACTACTGAGACAGTTGGGCGGCTACATGCGAAAGGCATGAGCATATAACAGCTTGGACAGCAAATTATTCTGTCTACAAGCTGACAACATAGCCAATAATGCGTAACAAACGACACAGTGTGCAGAGTCTACAAACTTGTCTTATGCGAAGCTTATGCATTACATTGAATTAGAATGTACTGGCATGTTTATTTCTTGAGTGAAGCTATGGTCGGTTTCATTGAATGGTTGAATTCGTAGGGAATGAGATCATGTTTTTAAGTCTAATGGAAATTGAATTAAAGTCTAGTGTGGGTGTATCATGAAAACCAAGTCACCAAAATTTAGGAGCATTTTATTGGAAGGTAAGTACACTGAAAGTTCTTCATGAAAGAAAGGGACTTTTCATGCGTAATTTTTATCCTCTCATCCTCTGCTAGTTTGTCGGGTTAGATACTATGAGGCCGTTTCTGTTTTGTGGTTTACAGTTGGTTTAATATCATAAAAGGGTTTCAATTTGTGGGTTGGAACTGGGATGGGGGGTTGTGGATGCTCAATATGTTTCTCATGCTTAACATTATCAGTTCAAACTGGTGTGTGCGTGTCGCACCTTAAAGATTGATCTAGAATCTACGATATTAAAATGAACGATAGGAAATTGGGTGGTCCCACCATGGGTAAGAAGGGTGTGTTGAGATTTATTAATTGTTATTTCTCTTTTGAAAATGTGAGAAATCTTGAGTTTTGGGAGTAAGCATTTGCATAGGCTTGTGTCTTGTGAGGATGAGATTGTTGTATCCGTGGCTTCTTAATGATAACTTGGGAGTTAAAGGACAAGGAATGTTCTCTAGAGATCTCTGAAAATCAAACAAGTGGATTTCATTAAATTCTTCAATCACACGAAAATTAGTACCTCCATTTGGTTTTTATTTTTTTATTTTTTATTTTTGGGTTATATTTTTACACTGACAATGAGCGACCACAGTTTTAGAGATATTAAAGATGCCATAGGGTTTAGTTAATTCTTAAGTCATTTTTGCTCTGTTGGGAACCTTGGCACAGATAAGAACGGGGTGAAGAGTGGTCTTCATCGCCTTAGAATCACATGATTACAAGTGACTAAATCTTTGCTATAGGTTGTCTTAATCTCTGCATTAAGTGAGCTTTGAGGTTAAAAGTTTATTTTCCTGAAATTTTTTATGCTGCGTTCAAATTGGAATCCGTACTTGTTGTGCTTCACCCTACCGATATGCACGTAACATGTTCTTTTCCTGTGGTGATTTGCAGCTTCCAACCCCAGTGGAAGAAATTGAGATGCTAATTACCGAATAGACACCACCAAGTGGTTATGCTGTACGATGTAGTGGCTGAGCAAAGGGGCTCTCCAAGAAGTAGTTCACACTTCCAGACTCACAAAGCCTGTCGAGTTTGGTTTTAGAAGAAATCAGTGTTATGTACTCCATAAGGGAATTTACTAGTGTTACTCGTTCGAACTGCGTAGTTTGTATCTGCAGACTGCATTATCGTCAAATATCGTGTATGACGTAATCAAATCTTGTATATATTAAGCTGGATGTTAAAACTCAAGACTGTTACTTCTACCCGTTAATATCAAGGGTGAAAGTTGAAATGGATATGTGTGCATCTTGGTGATATTACCTTGTTAGCGTTGTCGTAAGTGTCGGTGGAAATCGGAGGCAAACTATCTCCTCTCTTTGACATCCTTCTGAAATGAATGTTCGTTTTACTTTACTAGACAGACTAATCTGGAAACATAACACGAAGGCAACATATTAATGTTGTTAGCTGAAGATTATGCCAATTAATCGAAGTATGCATGATGAACCACAATCGAATTCAAACCCTAAAGCATGCATGTTGAAATTTGATGATCGGGACGTTGAAGATTTCGGAATCCATCGAACTCAACCAAGCCATAGACAGCTGGCTGGAATTTGCTCGCCTAAAGAATTGATTGAACGGGGAAGGGATAGAAATACAAGACATTTGTAACAAGTAGATATACATAGGTCGATTTGCTGCCATCGAGGGAGAGGAAGAACAAGGATTTCAAGGAAAGAATGTCAGGTTTTCCTCTATATTGTTAGAGCTCAGTGACTCAGTCGCAGATTGCTTTCGAGGACTTTCTTGGAGGAAAGGCTCATTGGCAAGGCACCAGTCGAGTTAGTATGTGGTGAATCAAATTTACGAAGTTATTAAACATCTTGAAATAACAGAATCTCAAACTGGCAGCAGCAGTACATTCGAATAACAGATCATGAGTGCTCAGAGAGGCTGCGTCGCATTCTATAACACGTCGGGAAAATAACAGCAGAAGCTGTAGAACATCCTGCAGTCGTAGATACATTGGTTTGCGGTGGAACAGAGTAGAGCCTGCCAGCCGCTGTGATGAGCTCTGAAGGTTGAGCAGCTTGACAAATATCACATGGTGTCATCGGCGAGCCTCAGTTTCTTGAATGATTTTGACTGCTCATACAATACTCTTGAAGGACCAATACCGTAAAGCACTCCGCTCCAAGGCTTCAGTTCTTCTGCATTTGAGGGGAATCCAAAACTTTGTGGCGCTCCACTTCCAAATGAATACAGACAGATCAATGGTGTTGATGACAGCATGACACGGCTAATAAGAACAATCGGGATCAAATTCCATGGTTTCGTATTTTTGTTGTACTTGGGTTCATCGTAGGATTTTGGGGAGTTTGTGGTCCTTTGATGGTTAAGAAGACATGGCGATATTCAGATTTCCGATTCCTAGACAATGTAAATGATAGGCTGTGTGATGGTAACCGTGTGGATGACCAGGATGCAGAGAGCGCTTAGAAATTTGATTGTGTTTGCTTTTTCTTTTGACAACATGTACTTTTTATCTTACGTTATCATTTTCTTGTTCCATAACGCAGTCAATTTGCTTTATGAGTGTCGTTCACGTTACCAAAAATTTATATATGTATCGATATAACATATGTAATCAACAACATAATCATTTTTTTAAATACCGAAATCAATATATTTATAATAAGAGGATGGAGGAATAAATTGATTGCCAACTCATTATTTTTAAAATTCAAACATAAGTCCTATCACTTAAAATAAAAAAAAATAATATTAAACCGTAGTACAAAGTAGGTGGGGGAAATATAATCATCTTGTAGATGTTACAATTTGGAATAATTGAACAGGGTTAAAAATGTCATTAACTTACCCTCGTAACAAAGAAGTGCATTGGACTTTCCCTCCAACTAAAGATACCTACCACCAACCATCCAGCCCAATCATAGAACAAAATTTTCTTCCTATATTACCCCTCAGCATTCTCCTAAACTTCCATCTCTCTCCCTCCTCTGTTCTTCCCCAAGTCAAACTCTCACCTTTCTTCCTCGGAGGCAACAATGGCACCAGGCACCGCTCAGATCTCTCTCTACCTTCTCCTCCTAATCCTTTTCTCAAAAACCGATCTAACTCTATCCCTCAGATACCTCAAACCCAATCCCAACGGTCCATCCAACACCTCCGTATCAATCGCAGACGTCCACGACCTCCTCCCCAAGTACGGTCCTCCCAAAGGGTCTCTTACCCAACAACGTAAAATCCTACACTCTCGCAGAAGATGGAAGCTTCGAGATCTTCCTCGGAAGCCCGTGTTACGTACACTTTGATCAGTTGGTTTACTACAACAAGCATATTAAAGGGAAGCTGAGTTATGGGGCAGTTTCTGATGTGTCTGGGATTCAAGCCAAGAAGCTTTTTATTTGGGTTTCTGTTACCGGGATTCACCGTGACAAAGGATCGGATTCCGTTGAGTTTTACGTTGGTGCCTTGTCGGAGAAGCTGCCGGCGAAACAGTTTGAAGATATTCCTGAGTGTAAGAACAAGGCTTGCCATGGTGTCGGAAGTGGTTCTGTTGAGTCAATCTGAGGTATTATTCTTTCCTTCTAGAAAATACAGAATTATTGGTTTTATTTGTTTTTTGTTGGATTAAATGGGAAAGACTAGAATTTTTTGTTACTGGTTTTTGCATGTAGCTCAAGTTGTTATGAGCATTTACTCCTGCACCTCGGGTTTGTGTAAATCCACCTATCTAATAACGCTTGTAGCAACAAAACAAAACAAAACAAAAAATCCACAGAAGCATTTGGATTTTTCAGGAAGTTCAGCCCTTTATATTTTTCCTCTGAGTTTGATCTTTGTAAGATTAATTGTAGGCTAGGCTATTGAAAAAAAATAATCGAATCAAACCGGAGGAAACTAAATGTTTGTTGATTGTTTGTCTCGGCAGATTAGATTATTAGACCAACAGAAGATCAAAAGATTTATTGCAGACAGATTGAAAGGAATATATCTGTCTTTGGCTTTGATTTCTCTTCAGGACCTATAATAAACAGCGAAGTTGTGTGTGTGTGTGTGTGTGTTTTTTTTCTTTTTTTTCTGATTAACGACTTGTTCGATCTGAATGTAGAATGTTGTGATCATGCTCAAGAAAGATCAAGGATTTCAATAATATTCGGGTGATAATATAGGCACTTGACATTTGAATCACCAAAATTTGGAATCTCGCATTATTTACTTCCATATAGGCACTGGACATCAGAAATGCAAATTTTGTTCCAATCTTGTTTCGCTTTGTTTCACTACTATCCATGCTCTAACTCTTTGGGGCATTGCTTAGTTTTCTCCTATAGATAGTGTTCAAATATTGGAGGTTCAGGTCTCAGGTCGAAAGATCAACCTTATCAACCCCATCTTGGACCTTATTTTCTTAATTTCTGATGCAGGAAGTTCTCAGTACTTAATGAGCTGGTTCAGTTCCGATGTGTCATTTCGCAATTTGTACTAACGTGTCTCTAAATCTGTTTATCGTTAAGGGCGGCATTACATTATCATTTCTCCATTTAACGAGATTTGGTGGAGCTATGCTGGCGAAAATCTTGTAATCTCTTCAAGTTTTCTGCAGGGATCATTCAAAAAGAAGTTTATAGTGATGCTGCATGATGAAAAGGCTTTCTAGGTTACCATAAAAACAAAACCAAAACCAAAACCAAATTTGTATTGTTGAAGCCCTAAAACCTTCATATGTGAAGCACTAATCATACAGCTGGGAAGCTGGACAACATTGTGCAGCTTCCCGGCTGTATGTTTTATGTTCGAAAGACAACATTTTAAACCCAAATTTTCACCAAAGACAACATTTTAAACCCAAATTTTCACCAATTATTGAAGGAGGGAGGATTTGATTCTATTTAAAAGTAAAAAGTTTCTGTCTAGATTTCTTAAGCAAAAGTATAACTGACTTGCTTCATTAAATTGGCTTCATGGGCATTGGCCTAATGTAGGCTTTACTTGCTAAAATCGAAAATTAGGGTAATCTTGGGAGGACTAATGAAGCTGCCCCGATATTGTTGCAGGTAGAAAAAGTACAATGCAATCACTGCATGGAAGAAGGAAACCATCTGCAGATCTTTCCATCGATCTCTTGCAGTCATCTGTATGCTTGAACAAGGTGGCCAGGAGAAGCAAATAAATGTGCATATGAATTCTTCGTAGCAGAGAGAGAGAGAGAGAGAGAGAGAGCGCAAGAGGGGTTATTCTGGTGTAAACCTTGTGATTAATGAGTGTGTGTGTGTATATATATATACGTATAAAAATTTCATGCTTGTCAATAAATTATTTGGTGGACCTTCTTTCTTCTTTTCTTCCTAAATTTGTAAGGGAAAAGATACAGCAGCATTAAGCTGTTTCTACAAGTGAAACATTATGCAGTGGATAGGGATTGAGTCTCCCATTGTCCCTGCTGCTTGGCTTTCATACATATTCTGAAATTTACCTTTCAGACGTATTATTGGCTTTCATATAACGAATCCGAAGGCAAAGTTGTTTCCCTAGTAAACCATTCGACGTTATTTCTGTGACGCATCCGAATGCAAAGATGAAATGATCTAAAGAGAACCATGCAAACACAAAAGAACTTCAGATTCAGCCACCAAAGCCTCGTAAAACCTACTCGAGCCACAACGCACGAATACAGATCGACCATGTAACGGCGTAAAGTGGCAGATCCATTCTGAAAGCAAAGGTAAAAACTCTCCTAGAGAGATTGGTTAATGTCTGTTGTACAATGAAGTATGAACTAGAACCAAATCCTTGTGGTCAACCTTTATTATGTAATTAGATTTGTTTAGAAACCGAAGACTTAATTAATCATATTTAATCATGTATTTTAGAACCAAATCCAATGTGAACTCTACAAATAACACCAATTTTGAAGTCTTGGATGGTTGAATCTTGCAATCAATAATGGCTAATATATTTAAATTAAAAAATATATATTACCATAACAATCGGCATGCACTATTAGTCTATGATTAGGTCATATAAGATCAGCCTAATTAATTAATGATTAGGGTCTCAATTATCCATCCAAATATTTGAACAAAGCTTGGCTGCTTTAAAACAAGCATGATCTTCTGTTCTCACCCAATAACAACTTGACAAGTATCCAAAAAATTAAAAAATTAAAACCTGAACTAACAACTTGGACACTGGTCAACTTGTTATTGGGAGAGAGCAGGAGTAGCCAAGCTTTGTTCCAAATATTTTACTTAATTTTTTTCACGAGCTTGCCAATAGAATAGTAATTATATATTTATATACAATCTTTGACCTATTTGACATGCATAAAATTATAAAAATGCTTTTTCACTATGGGTAAGCATAGTTTTGTTACTCTTTTGTAACTTCTTTGCCTTTCTTTCCTTTCCTTTCCTTCGCTTCAATCCATGTGAAACCCATGCTTTTAAGTTTTTAGAAACGTTTGAAGCTATAAATACATTGATCGTGCTCAATCCAAACAACGTAAATCGACTTTGAGTTTCGGGGCACGTTTCTCTTCAATCCCTTGCCGAATCCGACGTCAAGAAATTGATCAAACCCTTTAGGGTATTGAACTTTCCGAGCAAGCTGCTGCGATGGATGTTCGTCGAGAGGTTGCTGCTGCCGGCGGGAGCAAAAGGATTCAGAAGGAAAAGGAGAATACAATGAAGAAACAGATGGTGAGCCGGAGGATGAATGCGGCAGATGATCAGGAAGGCGACGTCAATGAAATGGCTGATGCCTTCATCATAAAGTTCAGAAACCAGCTCAAGATTCAAAGGGAAGAGTCGTTCAAACGGTTTCAGGATATGATCGCTCGTGGAGTTTGAAATATGTATGTTGTTACTCGTAACTTTGTGCTTATAATCGGAACAGTTCATATTATAAATCACTTTGTATACTTCTACCATTTTCGTCCATTTGTGATTTTACAATTCGATAACTAAACCACCTTAGTTTTAATTGATTTATTTTTGCAGACATCATTTTTATAGTGATTTATACAGTTCTAATAAAAAACACGAAAGCATATGAATTAGAAGCAAAAAGCTTTGAGTAGCCAAGCATTATTCTAATGAAAAAAATATATTGAATGATCTCTAATGACACGTATATTCACAAACGCATATCTAAGATTACATGCTACTAAACATAAAATCCCCATAGCACAAGACAAAAAGGCCTAGATCAATATAACTAGATTTCCACATTTATCTGCTCTCTCTTGATCATTAATGTAAAGAAATGGCCTCATAAATCTTTTTCCGAGGCCAAAAACCTCGAAATTCTATTTCCGAAACCAGTATCGCCAGTCACATACCAGATCTCTTGCAAGAGATGACCGCCTTGGCTCTACAGATGCACCAACAATGCTTCTCATCTCAACTCTTCCTTCACACAAAGCACAAGCAACACCGACACCAGGTTCTCAGCTTGTCATGCTTGGAGCACCTGACAGTGTACAATGTGACTCTTCAAACCAGTTCGGCCTGCTATACTAGACCATAAATTGGAGACCAGAGTTCTGAAATGACCTTTACCGGCGATATTTTCCCAAAGCTGAGGGTTGCTTTCGACATGTTTATCCGGACTTGAAACATCAACTAAACTGATGCTCATGTTATTACGAATAATGCAAAGCTTCCCGTTAAGGGGAACAAGTGCAGCAGCCTCCAAAGCACGAGAACTCCCTAGATGAAGCTTGCTATCTATAAATTTGATCCATGAATCTGATACTCTATCATAGACCCTAAGCTTGCACCCATCACGGCAGTCCAGAGCATAGAGCTGCCCATTTAAAGAAATACTGGGGTTGCGCCACCCAGCAACCATCCCGTCACTAATAGGAGTCCAGGTATTGGCTTCGGGAGTATAGGCTTCACTCATTACCTCACGGTGTGACCCAAGTCCTTTTAGGAACCACATTCCATCATGAACCACCCCAATAAAGGGCACCATAGCTGTGCTCATATCGGAAATAAAGCTCCACCGATTTTTGTTCGGATCATAAATTTCAGCAGAACGAAGAGTCCTTTGAATTCCTTCACACTCCCCACCGGCTACATAAAGACAATTATTAATAACACAAGAGCCAAAGAAATGGCGTTTCCGAAGCATATCTGGTGCCCTGTGCCATTTATTTGTCCGAGCACTGTAAAAAATAACCCTTCTCATAGATCCCTTCAATGGATCTTTTCCTCCAAACAAGTACAGGTGACAACCGCTAAGGACAGCACAACCAAAACCAAGCGCAGCAGAATACTCACCAGGAACGGGTGGAAGCGGCTGCCAGAGCTGGTATGTAGGATCAAAAGCATGCCAAGAGATCCTTCCATCACGGTCTCTTTTGATAACATAAACCCATTCTTCTGCCATTCCAAGACTTTTTCTAAGCGAATAAAAGAAGTTTCCAGCTAGAAGGCGATACCACCTTTTGCAAACTAGACGGAGTTTTCTATGTTCAACACGGGGTACTCTGATTAAACAAGCAATTGCAAGATCATCAGGTAGACCAGGCAGGAGGGGTGGCTGGATTCTAGTCCTTTCCC